TATTGCATCATTGCCGGGGGCATTGATCCTCAAGTGATAAGCAATTGAATCACTTGTATACTACATTACTGTGTTAAAAAGTGTATAGAGTGAGGTCTTTTCTAAAAGTTAATGACACACTGGTGATTAATGTCACTGACATGCATGTAGTAATACTATATGAAGAAATATAGATACTTAATGATATTATGCTTTAAAGCCTGTGACTAAACCAGGAGACAGAGATTCCCTGTCAGACAGGAGAGAAGGCAGCTATCTACCAGTCTCCTATGAAGACAGTCTCCTATGGCCAGAGCCCAGTCTAGAGTACATAGTGTCTCCTATGTAAATTAAGCACAGTGGAATCAAAGCAATGGAAGCTCTATTTACATACAGGGGGATGGGAAACCCACAGGAAGGGAAAATCAGCATGAGGTCATTGAACTTTTGAAGATAAAAGCAAGGATAGAAGCCATCTTGGTCATCCATCACTAGACAGACTCAAGGGAACAGAGCTCTTGCTAGCTGAGAAAGATGGGTCCTTCGGCCAAGGAGGGGTTGAAGTCTCTGGAAACTGAATACAGGTAAGAAACCTGTTTAGACAAAGATCTTTCACTTAGAAAGACAAGGGAAGCCTGCATCGTGTACTTCTGTTGAAGGTCCTGACTGAATGAAAGTCACCATGGCTGGGAAGAAGAATGACTGGTGAGAGGAACGAGTGTCGAGAGAGACCATCTTCAACAAAACCTGTACCCTGCTAGATTAAGTTTTAGACTTTTAGATGTGTTTTCAGTCTTACTTGCTTGTACCCTTTCTAACTATATTCCTTTTACTTGACATCACTTAACCTATGTCCTGCTATTAAATTTGTTTTACTATAGCCCACCTCAGTGCTGCATTTGCAGGGAAGGGTGTCGTTACCTCATTTGGGTTAATAAGCTGTGATATGCTTCCTTCTCTGTAAAGGAACAAATTAACCTTATTTTTTCTCTGAACTATCCAGGAGCGGGCTGAACATTGGGACAATTTGGGATTGGGTGTGTGTTGGGGTCCCTTGCTGGTTGTAACTGAGACTGGTAGACACCAGAGTGGGTCTATAGATGGGCTGCTGGGATCAGAGTTGCTGAACCAGGGCCGGCTATGTAGCACACACACTCAGGGTGTGGCCTACATGCTTGTGGGCTGGCTCTGAGCATCCCAGTCTGGAAGCTTCAGCGGCAAAGCATTGTTAGCAGGGCAAGTAGTGAGACAACCCTCCACTGGACTAGTCTGGACTGCACCTGGAACCCCATGAAAACAGCCAGCTGGGCTTTTTGTTGTACCATTCTTGCTGTTTGTCCTTACACTCAATGAGCTCTCAGTGAACCCTACTTTTATTGGAAGGAGTCTAAGGCTTTACACTCAATATATAACACCAGTTATCATGCTTTCAGAATTTGAATGTTTTCCAAGGCAACACTTGCCACAATTTTGTGTTGTAGAGAGAGACACTCCCATTATGTCAAGAATTATATAAAAATCTGGTGCTACATGGTCTCTATAAACAGAGGAAAATGAGAAATAGAGAAAAGAAAAAGCATGGAAAGAATGACTATTGTCCCCTGAACAAAGAGCAGAAACTTCCTTGTTTGATCTTAGAAATTAGAACTTGGCAGACAGAGCCATTAAACTTCAATTTTTTTGTGAAACTATATGTGTGACTCCAAGGAACTATACTTAGGAGTAATTAAATTAATTGAAATCTACTAAAGGAAAATGTAGACCTAATGGGACAAAACTTGCTGTCAGCATCTAGGTTTAACTCCCATTGAGTTCCACTCAGATTTCACAATATAACTGTGAGCAGAATCTGGTCCATCATTGGGGGAAAATGTCCTAGTAGTGAAGTCTATTAGACTATAGATTAGTCTCCTAAGGGAACGATTGAGTTGTTTTAAAACTAGACAGAACAAACTCCAAAAAATTGACTGTTTGAAACATCCTGAACTGACAGGGAGCTGGAGAAGATGACCTAAATAGAAGTTTTCCTCACATTTTAAGAATTAGTTTGGAGCTTAATTAATTAATGACAGAGAATAGTCATGAGAAGCTTGGCTGTAAATTAGCTAGGATTTAACATTTTTGTTTGTAAGTGTGACGTTAGTGCTTATGGATTTAACATTGTTTGTTTGTAAGTGTGACGTTAGTGCTTATGGAAGGTGCTGGATTGACTGAATTGGAGACTGAAGTCTTCTATTCATGAAGGAAAAAAAAAAAGCCGGAGTAGAGCTCATGCAAACTCCCCACATTATTCCACCAATGTGCTTCACCTGAGACTCAGATGGACATTTTAGGGATGAAACAGTGGTTCAGTCTCTGTACCCATTCACTCCTTAGTTTCTGTGGTGAGGGATGTGTTGGGAAATCTTAATAGGCAGGCAAAATCTATTGTGTGTGTATATATGTAATATATATAGCGTTTTTCCAATACTGTTTTAAAAATATACTGTTTTGTATTGTTAAGCTGTAAGAAACAAACATCTTTAATATTTAGGTCCAGATTGTAGCCCATACCCTGCAGGCACACAAGAGGTAGGGAAAGAACACAAGGGGCCTTTCTGTCCTGTTCCTCTGTACAGAGAATGGGCACAATCCCATGCTGGAGTGCAGAGGGACAGTTGGGGAAACAGCAAGCAGTGAATCTGTGATAGGGAGCTATCCTAGGCAGGTAGATATATCCACATACTGATCCTGATATATCCACATACTGAAAAAAACCCAAAGACCCCAACACATGCAGTTTATGTTCTCAAATAAAAGCTAACCATATTTTTTATTTTTCTTTATTAAACACTTGTCTGTGCCTCTCTTATGTGTCAATGATTCTACTGACATGGCAGGAAAATGAAGTCAAAGCTCAGTAGGGCTATATGAAATTTCCCTAAAACAGTGACAAAAGATTGTACATTTCTTCTTTTCAAACTCACTCTGGAGATTGCCAGATCTAGCAAAAATAATGCAGCCACTTTTACAGTGTATGAGGTTATGGAAAGTGATATTGTTTCAATGTTTCTCCAACTACATGCAGGTTTAGCAGCACTAAAGCAATACATATTTGTCATGCCTAATGGGATTTAATCTTTATTTTGTTTTTAATTGTTCAAAAGCTTCTCTTTGAAAATAAACCTTCAAGAAAAAGGCTTGAGAAATGAGTGAAGATTCTGACCCTTCAATACAGTTCACAATAACTGTTAATTTGTCATTTTGTGTTTCTTCACTGTTTTATGCAAAACACACGCCAAAACACAGCATTAAATAACATAATATTAATAATGAAAGTGACATTTCTTATTCTGTGAAGTGAAGAATTATTTTAAAGTAATCCAATTAGTATTACATAAGCACTGAGTTATGGAGTGGTATTGGTAATGGCTGAGGTAATGACTGAGTATTGGTAACGGCTCTATCATTGAGGCGGCACTGAGATTTGTACTTAAAGCAGGATTAAAAATATCTTTGCTTAGTTTCCAGATTGTGCTCAACAATTCTTCAGAAGTCAGCTAAATACACTGGGGTTTTGGGTTTTTTTTTTAGTGAAATATTTGCTGATTGTTTTTTTTAGGTAAAAGTTTTTTCTCTTTAGTCTTGAATGTCCAGGAAAATTTCTCCTTCAAAGTTCTTTCTATTTTGAGCCTGATATTTTTTTTCCCAGATCCAAAGCATTGCTATGGTGTGAACACACCCTGTTCTCTAACTTAATGGCCCAAGGAGCCTATAATTGACTTTCTGTATGTGGCCTATTTTGTCAGTACAGAAGAATCCAGTACATTTCTTCCCTACCTGTGCACCACCTTGCTTTATCACAGCCTAAACATAATTTTAATGAATTATTTTTGTGTGACTATATTAAAAAGTTGCCATTGTTTCTTCGTGAATCTCAGAAAGAAGCACAACATTATTCCAAATATGATGTACACTCTTGCTATTTTTGGGTAGAAATTGGAGCTAATTGGCAAAACCTTCTGAGCATGTGACTCCATTTTGATCCAGTCCCCTTAATCATTTAATCCCTTATTCCCTATGAGGGTAGTCTTAGAAAATCACTAACCTGGCACCAGGTGCCGAACCAGTGGTTTTGACTGGGGTCCAGCTGAGAGATACTGAAACATAATATAGAATTTTAAATTACAGGATATAGTAACAGCAATGCAAATAAGACATTACTAATATGCTGAACTAATAGTAATACATAAAACCCAACTGATTTAACATATCATTGTTTTTTCTGGACTTCAGTCATGAGTTCTGCTTAAAAATTGCGGGCACAATATGGCCGCATATTTTTCAGAGCACAATAGTTCACATGAATAGAATGTGAGGTGTAAGAGAGATTTTGTAGTTTTGTAGTCCGCTATAGGAAGGTAGTATGTATTTTACTTGCAATATGACCAACATTAAAAAAAAAATTAAGTGCCCAAGTTGAAAAATGTTGGCCTATATGCTCACTTTTGGGTCTCACCTCATGTGCATAATATGAAAGACAACAAGCAAGTTACTGATGATTAAGAAATTGTTCTATGTTCATATGGCAGATGCAAAAAAAAAAAAAAAAAGACTTAAAGGGCCTAATTTTGAGGCTGGCTTCCATTTTTGAAGGCACAAATTTAGGTTCACAAAAATTGTACCTGCAATTAATTGTGGGTACAAATGCTATCATTTAGACATCTATGTACCTACATGAGCCCAGGGAAATGAAGGCTAAGTTGAAGCCTTTTTGAGAAATCTTAGTATGAGGAACAAAAGTAAGTCTTCAAACTAATTTGTAAACTGTCTTTAGCTGGTCAAGTTTATGATATATAGAACCCACTGTTCTTATGGTGGTAAAATGTTTAGATTTTTAATGCAGGAATTTTTCATTGGCCTGGAAGATGCATCTTTCTGTGAAAAAAATATTCTACATATGGTTTTGCAAGAGTGGGACTCAAAGATATTTTTCTAGAATCTGAGTAATGATTTCTTATAAACAGAGTAGATTTACTTACCAGTACTGAACATATACAGGTCATCAACAGCTTTTCCATAATGAACTCCACCATAGACATAGATATTTTCTCCTACTACTGCTGAACTGTGTCTGAGGGTCTGAGGTGCAATGCCATTGGTTTTTACCTTCTGCCACGTTAAAGAACCTAAAACAACAAATCAAAATTTTAGAGAATCTTCCTCTACTTTCACCAAGTAGAAAGGGAAACAAACATTTTCATTTTAGTTTTTACACACTATACAAATTCTCCTCAGCACAGCAGCTCTATGAAAAAAACCCAGCAGATCTGTCAACGTTTTTCACACGAGTGGCACACATGTCCTTGAGTCTCTGCAGGACTCTGATGATCTCTAGCTCTTTTTAAAATATAAGTTTTTTGGATTTTTTTTCCATTTCCACTCCCTGGATCTGGTGACTTGTGTGTGTGTCAATAGCCTAATTCATCTAGGAACAAAACCTCTGCTTCCCAAAGAATGGAATATTTGGAATTTTTTATCCACTTTCTCCATGCAGGTTCAACATCACTGGCTGGCACATTGGTCGATAGCTAATGCTCTGTCCACTTTCTGTGCACCTGCTTTGGAGATAGAGTAGCAGCTGTGCAGTGCACACTCATTCCTGCATGGCTGGTACCAAGGTTTGTGAAGACTATGCAGGTGTGTGTAGGGTGGGAGTCTTGCTCTCTACAGTCAAACACTTAGTGAATTATTGTTTCAAACTCTAAAATAGGTAAATATTCAGATGATATATTTGCCTTTTAAAAATATGGCAAGATTATGTTTTGGCAAAGAGACTATTTGTGGAGGTAGATGTCTAGTCCTAACACTAGGGAAGAAACAGAACTTTGCTTCTGCAAATATCAGCAGGAGGGGAGAAGATATTTGAGGATTTTGAGATGAACATTTGTCCTTATCCTGATCAGAATTCATGCAGGTGAAAGGAGACTCTGCTCAGGTGCTGGGATCCAGCCACATGGATCTGATTGCAGGATCAGGGCCTGAGAAGACAAGTGATACAGACAGACTGGAAGGGGGTGGGGAGGGAGAAGGAGACAGATAATATATTTAAGTTCTCTGACCATATTTACATCTCATTAGGGGATGAATCACAGAACATAAAATTACCACCTTTCAGCCAACCTATTCCTAATTCAAAATAAAGTACAGAGAAGATTATATTGGAGACTAGCAAACCGCAGACAGAAAACGTCACAGTCTGCTGGAGGTTTGACCATTTTCCTGTTTCACTATCACACAGACAAGTTGAAAGTCTATAGTCATACTAAGGCGGGGAGAGTGTGTGTTGAAGATAAAAGGAGAAAAAAAACAGAGTGACCTCATGTAGAGGTCCTATTACAGAGCACAAAATCACTATAAGGAGGTTAATGAGGCATTTTTAGAATAAATAACAGAAATATCCAAAACTTAAGACCTGGTAGTAATTGGGGACTTTAACTAACCAGGCATCTGTTGGAAAAGTAGTTCAGCAAAACGCAAAATGTCCAGTAAGTTATTGGAATGTGTTGGGGAAAATTTCTTGTTTCAGAAGGTGGAGGAATTACTGAGGGAGGGCAGCCATTTTAGATTGATTCTGACTAACAGGGAGGAATTGGTTGTGAATCTGGAGGTGGTGTGGGTGAAAGTGATCGTGAAGTGATAGATTTTATGATTCTAAGGAAAGGAAGGAGCAGCAGAATAAGGCTTCAAAAAGGAGACTTTTACAAACTCAGAGAACTAGTAGGTAGTATTACATGGAAAAAAAATTCTAAGGAAAAAAAGTTCAGGAGAAATCACAGTTTCTCAGAGACAATATTTAAGACACAACAGCTTACAATCCTGATGCAAAGGAAGGAGAGAAAAAATAGTTAGAGGCCAATATGGCTGCATCAAGAGCCCTTTAATTATTGGAAAATAAAAAAAAAAATCTATAAAAAGTGGAAACATGGACAAATTGCTAAGGATGAGCACAAAAGAGGCGCACAAGCATGTGGGGATAAAATCAAAAAGTCACAAAATGAGTTACATCTAGCAAGGAACATAAAAGGCAAGAAGAGGTTCTATAAATACATTAGGAGCAAGAGAAAGATTAAATCAAGTATAAGTCCACTACTTAGTGGTAAAGGAGAGCTAATAATATATGACATCAAGAAGGCTGAAGGGTTTAAGGCCTGTTTTGCTTTAGTCTTCACTAAATAGGTTAATCGTGACACACAGTTCATATTAACAACAAAGGGGAAGGAACATAAGCCAAAGTAGGGAAAGAACAGGTTAAAGAATATTTAGATGAGTTAAACGGATTCAAGTCAGCAAGGCTTGATGAATTTCATCCTAGGGTACTAAAGGAACTAGCAGAATCAATTTTGGAACCATTAGAGATTATCTCTGAAAATTCATGGAGGACAGGTGAGATCCCAAAGGACTGGAGAAAGGCACTATGTTTTCCTATCTTTAAAAAGGAGAACAAAGAGGACCTGGGGAATGATAAACCAGTCAGTCTAACTTTGATACCTAGAAAGATACTGGGATAAATTATTAAACAATTAAATCTGTAAGCACCTAGAGAATAATAGGGTGATGACAAATCTATGTTGGCTATTACTTAAGAACAAATCATGCCAAACAAAACTAATTTGCTTCTTTGGCAGGGTTACTGGCCTAGTGGATGGGGGAAGCAGTAACATGATAAATAATATCTTGATATTTAGTAAGGCTTTTGACATAGTCCCACTGTGGGCTCAAGAAAGGGTCTGTTGTAGGTCTGGTATTATTCAATATTTTCATAAATGACTTGGATAATGTAGTGGAGAGTATTATAAAATTTGCAGATGACACCAAGATAGGATGGGTTTAAAGCACTTTGAAGGACAGGATTAGAATTCAAAATGAGCTTGATAATTTGGAGAATGGTCTGAAATCAATAAGATAAAATTTGATAAAGACAAGTGCAAAGTAGTGCACTTAGGAAGAAAAAAATCAATGCACAGCTATGAAATGGGGAATAACTAGTTGGGCAGTAATACTGCAAAAAAGGATCTGGGGATTATAGTGGATCACAAATTGCATATAAGTCAACAATATGATACAGTTGCAAAAAAGGCGAATATAATTCTGGGGTGTACTAACAGGAGTGTTGTATGTAGGACATGAGAGGTAATTGTCCCACCCCACTTAGCACTCGGCCAAAGCTGGAATGTCCAGTTTTGGGTGTCACATTTTAAGAAAGATGTGGATAAACTGGAAAAAGAGTCCAGAGGAAAGCAACAAAAATGATAAAAGGTTAAGAAAACCTGACCTATGAGGTAAGGTGAAAAAATTAGGCACGCTTAGTCAAGTGAACAGAAGAGTGAGAGGGGAATTGATTAGTCTTAAAATATGTTAAGGTTGTTATCAAGAGGACAGTGATCAATTGCTCTCCATGTCCACCGAAGGTAAGAGAAGAAGTAATGGGCTTAATCTGCATCAAGGGAGAGTTAGGTTAGATATTAGGAAAAAATTTCTAACTATAAAAATAATTAAATATTGGAATAGGCTTCCAAGAGACATGGTGCAGTCTCTGTCATTGGAGGTTTTTAAAAACAGATGAGACAAACTTCTGTGAGGGATGGTCTAGGTTTATTTAATCCTGCCTTAGCGCAAGGGGATGAACTTAATGACCTCTCCAGGTGCCCTCCAGCCTTAAATGTATATGATTCTTTGCCAAAAATTCCTTGACCTGGACAACCTTCTGCATAAGCTCTAAACTATTCCACCAGCTCCACTCCACATTGTTGTCTTCTTGGCATTGGTGAGCACAGTGCCATGTTACTGTACCTGAAAAATTTGTTCTCACACTTCTTACTTTATATGCAATAATCAGCTGTAGCTATTGGAAAGATTTTAATGCTACTTTTTTAGGGTACATCTACACTACAAAATTAGGTCAATTTTATAGAAGTCTATTTTTAGAAATTGATTTTATACAGTCAATTGTGTATGTCCACACTAAGCGCATTAAGTCGGTGGAGTGTGTCCTCACTACTGTGGCTAGTATCGACTTAGAGCGGTGCACTGTGGGTAGCTATCCCACAGTTTCCACCGTCTCCGCCACCTATTGGAATTCTGGGTTAAGCTCCCAATGCCTGATGGTTGTTGCAGGTGGTTTTGGGTACATGTCGTCAGTCACCCTTCCCTCCGTGAAAGCAATGGCAGACAATCGTTTCACGCCTTTTTTCCATGCAAACACCATACCACGGCAAGCATACAGCCCGCTCAGCTCAGCTCACCATCACTGCTGCTGTGTCCTGGGTGCTGCTGTCAGCAGATGGTGCAGTACGACTGCTAACCATCATCATCCACCACTTCTGCTGCAACTCTCCTCTCCTGCTCTTGTAAATGAGCTCAGTCTCAATAAAAAATTTCTCCATGTTCTCGTCATCCACCGCTTCCGCTGCAACCCTGCGCTCCTGCTCTCCTGCAGACGCCATACCACTGCAAGCATGGAGCCCACTCAGCTCACCACTGCTGTTGTGAGCATTGTAAACACCTCGTGCATTATCCTGGAGTATATGCAGAACCAGGCTAAGAGAAGCCAGCACGAGGATGATTTTGATGAGGACATGGACACAGACGTTCCTGAAAGCATGGGCTGTGGCAATTGGGACATCATGGAGGCTTTGGGGCTGGTTGATACAGTGGAACACCAATTCTGGGCCCGGCAAACAAGCACAGAGTGGTGGGACCGCATAGTCTTGCGAGTATGGGATAATTCACAGTGGCTGCAAAACTTTTGCATGCGTAAGGCCAATTTCCTGGAACTCTGTGAGTAGCTTTCCCCTGCCCTGAAGCGCAGGAATACCAAGACCAGAGCTGACCTGACAGCTGAGAAGCGAGTGGCGATAGCCCTGTGGAAGCTTGCTACGTCTGACTGCTACCGGTCAGTCAGGAATCAGTTTGGAGTGGGCAAATCTACTGTGGAGGCTGCTGTGATCCAAGTAGCCAATGCAATCATTGACGATCTGTTATCAAGGCAGTGACTCTGGGAAATGTGCAGGTCATAATCGATGGCTTTGCTGCAATGGGTTTCCTTAACTGTGGTGGGGCAACAGATAGAACGCATATCCCTATCTTGGCACTGGATCACCTTGCCAACCAGTATGTAAATCACAAGGGGTACTTCTCAATGGTGCTGCAAGCACTGGTGGATCACAAGGCATGTTTCACAGACATCAGCGTGGGATGGCTGGGAAAGGTGCAGGACGCTCGCATCTTTAGGAAATCCGGGTTGTTTGAGCAGCTGCAAGAAGGGACTTACTTCCCAGACCAGAAAATTACCATTGAGGATGTTGAAATGCCAATAGTTATCCTTGGGGACCCAGCCTACCCCTTGCTCCCATGGCTCATGAAGCCGTACACAGGCAGCCTGGACAGTAGTAAGGAGCAATTCAACTGTAGGCTGAGCAAGTGCAGAATGGTGGTAGAATGTGCCTTTGGACATTTAAAAGCTCGCTGGCGCTGTTTGCTGACTAGGTCAGACCTCAGCACAACCAACATTCCCATTGTTATTGCTGCTTGTTGTGTTCTCCATAACACCTGTGAAAGTAAGGGGGAGACATTTATGGTGGGGTGGGAGGTTGAGGCAAATCGCCTGGTGTCCAATTTTGAGCAGCCAGACACCAGGGAGATTAGAAGAGCACAGCAAGGCACACTGCGCATCAGAGAGGCTTTGAAAACCAGTTTCATGACTGGCCAGGCTTTGGTGTGACAGTTGTGTGTATTTTTTCTTGCTGCAAACCTGCCCCCTTTGTTGATTTTAATTCCCTGTAAGCTAACCACCCTCCCCCCTTCGAAATAAAGTAACTATTGTTTTGAAACCATGCATTCTTTCTTTATTAATTACAAAAAAAAGGGGAGATAACTGACAAGGTAGCCCAGGTGGGGTGGGAGAGGAGGGAAGGATAAGGCCACATTGCTTATTGTAGCCACACTACAAATAAAACTGTTTGAATGACAGCCTTCTGTTGCTTGGGCCATCCTCTGGAGTGGAGTGGCTGGGTGCCTGGAGCCTTCCCCCTCCCCTGCATTCTTGGGCATCTGAGTGAGGAGGATATGGAACTTGGGGAGGAGAGCAGGCGGTTGTACAATGGATGTGTGGGGGGGGCTGTGCTCTTGTTGGCTTTCCTGCAGCTGCACCAGACGCTTCATCACATCCGTTTGCTCCCCCATTAGCCTTAGCATCACCTCCTGCCTCTGCTCTTCGCGCTCCTGCCTCTGCTCTTCACATTCACTTAATGCTTTCCTCGCCTCTGACACTGAATGCCTCCATGCATTCAGCTGTGCCCTATCAGTGTGGGAGGACTGCATGAGCTCGGAAAACATGTCATTGTGAGGACGTTTTTTTCGCCTTCTAATCTGCAATAACCTCAGCGACGGAGATGATAGGGGGAGGCTAGAAATATTTTCAGCTGGGGGAGACAAAGAGGGAGAGTAAAATTTAAGATGATACATTTCTGAGAACAAAAGAGAGACTGTTTCACAGTGAATCAAGCAATTCACAGCAGACAGCACATGTACTTTAGGTAAAAGGTCGCATTTTGCCTTTTATATTGAGTGCCCGGCGGTATGGTGACACATCACACATGACTGGGCAACAGAATTTGGTTTCCAGACAGCCATGGTAAGGCAAAGGGTACGCGGGGTTGGCTTCTTATGCATAACATGTGGGAATGATTTCAAATTGCAGCGCCATCCTTTCCCATAGCAAGCAATGGGTTGGGTTTCACATTTAAAAGGAGGGGCTGTGGTTTTCGAGTGGATGTGCAGCACACACCTCCCCCCACCCCACCGTGTGGCTATTCTTCAGGATGAACGCTTTTAGCCGAGCACAAACAACCCAGCATGAATGGGGTCCTTTTACTGTTCCCTTACAAAAATTCCCCTATTTCAACCAGGTGACCATGAATGATATCACTCTCCTGAGGCTAACACAGAAAAATATAGACCGAATGTTGCTTGAATGAGTCCAAAACCCAGGACCATTCGCTGCCATGCTTTGTGCTGCAATGATTCCAGAATACTTTCAGAGTACCTCCAGGAGAGCTTCATGGAGATGTCCCTGGAGGATTCCCGCTCCATCCACAGACATGTGAACAGACTTTTCCAGTAGCTGTACTGACCGCGAATGCATCCCAATTCTTCAGGGCAAATCAAACATTAAACACTATTGCTTTTTAATCCTGTACTGTAGTTACAAATGTGCACTCACCAGAGGTGCATTCTCCAGCTTCAAGGTCAGGGATCCCGCCTGGGGAGGGTATTGGCTCTAGTGTGATGAAAAAGTCCTGGCTGCCGGGGAGAACAGATTCACTGCTTGCCTGTTGTGCATCTCCTCCTCCTCCTCATCCACAAAATCCTCCTCCCTGTTGCGTGAGATTCCCCCCTTGCAGGTGTCCACAGACAGTGGTGGGGTAGTGGTAGGGTCAAGGCTCAATCCAAAGCCCACTGAAGTCATTGGAAAGAATCCCATTGACTTCAATGGGACTTATATCAGGCCTTTAACTCTCATATTAAACATTAGCATAAAGTGTACTTCCATGCTCATGAGATGGTATACTCATCTTTTCAAATAATGATAACCTGTCTGAGACTGCACTTTTTATTTTCATTGTTTTGTAAATTTACATCATGAATTTGGTTGGTACACACCTTGTCTGTTACTTGTTCCTTTATTTCTGTTGCTACTTACTTGAAAAAAATAATAAAAAAGCTTATTTATCAAAAAAGCTAAAGCCTTTAAAAAATCTGTTATTTTTGCAGAATAGCAAAACAAAGCAAAATGAATAACAAGAGGGGTTGGTAAAAGTTTACCTCATTTATACGTCAGAAGCCGTACAGCATGTCTGCTCTGTTAAATCATTTGTATAGAGAGTACATATATCATAGGTCACATCTCTGTTACCAGCAACTTTTTATAGTATTACCAAACAATCTTAAACAGGTTTATTGTAATAATGTTTTTATAGACCAACTCAATAATATATTTTTGTAATTACTGAATTCTGCTCTTGATTTTTGAGCCAAATTACATAGTAATCACCGTCAGAAAGCTTTCCAAAATCTTGTGCAAATCTCCTAATGTGTGTAGGCAAATTAGGGTCACATACAAAGCAAACTGTGTGTGTTGCCCTAATGCGTATTCTGAAGTCAGGGATATCAGTATATCTAGGCGAGGTGCTCGTGCACTTTTGTGCATAATATTTTGAAAATCTGGCCCTTACTTTTGAATTTTGATTACTATTTAATGTTTTTTACTTTGCAAAATAAATAAATCCAATGATCATACAGTACAAAGTGATATAGATCATGTTTATATTCATGGCCTCTGCCTAAGAAATGTGAATATACACTGAAAACATGCATTACTCTTTGGGGGAAAACCCACTTCCCCCCCAAACCAAATATATAACGTACATTATGCAACATGTCTGGGAAAGTGACTTGTACATTAACTTTGCAAAATGTAGCCATTAAAGTTTTATTTTTTTTTATGTATGAATGCTTAAAATTATAACTTTTAGAGGGTCTTGCCCCAGGTCTAGCTCAGTGCTTAAAAGTATGTTCCTTTGTGGAACTAGTTAGTCTGACTTGAAATGTAGTGCATCATGAACTGATATTTGGTACAGAATTAACCTTTCATTTGGAAAGCTTACAGCAGGGAATCTCACCCACTAATAACATTGCCTCAGAGACTGAAGTAAGAAGACATATGTCAATGAAGACCTGAAGAAGAGTTCTGTGTAAACTCATCTCTCTCACAAACAGAAGTTGGTCCAATAAAAGATATTTAATCACCCACCTCGTCTCTCTAATACCTCAAAGAGGCATTCTTAAATGAGCTGTATTCCTTTTATTTCTCTACAGGGCATGGAAAAGTAAGCTCTGGAATTAGAGTAACAGCTACATAGCAATAAACAGAGTTAATCCATTGCCAACCATCTTTATTTAGTTAACTGACTATGAAACAACGTCTACACAGAATTAGCTCAATTTTTGTGTGGGATTAGGTCTAATAAATATTTCTGCCAATAAAAAAAACCCCAACAGATGCACTATAAATGCAGATTCTAAAGCAGATTTTGTTTTGGTTTCATCTTCTAAAACCTCTCATTCTAAGATAATTACAGCTCTCAATCTGCAGAAAGCATAGTCTTTTCCATACAAAAGATAAGGATGCCATTTTTGAAGGAGGGTAAAGGTCTTAGGAGTCATATGTGGGGCGGTCTTAATTATTAATACATTAAAATAATCATTGCAAGTTTTCATAATGAAAGCAGCATATTGCTTTAATTTGAATAATGGTCCCTTAGACTTGTCATTACCTTAGTGAACTATAAATAGTACAAAATGTAGTCTTACATTTCTACTCACTAAGGTTAAAGCTGTAGACTCCTGGAAGACATTCTTTAGCATCTTGGGTTGAACACCCTCCAAATAAATATATCTTCCCTCTTACTACACTGTAATGAAAAATAATGATTTTACAATTGGTTCATAAAACATGTCCTGAATTATTAAAAGTGATTTATATAGAAAACCCATTATATTTCTTGATTCATTCCTGTTAGCAATGCACATATATAAACTGTATTTTGTATCCAGCTGCAATAAAATTTTATCTGGATTCCAGATAAAGTTTTTACCTTCCCACTAATAGTATCTACGCTGTTTGTTTAGATTTACTAAAAGGTACAATGTCAAGTTGTTTAGGTCCACAGACTTTAAAAACTGTTATAGAAAAAGATGTCCTCTGATTCCAAGAATATAGTAAAAAGTTCTCCCCACTCCATTACTGAGTAACTAAAATATTCAGTGTTGTTTTGGCTTCATGATACATCTAAAAACGAAGTGTGGATATACCCCCTGCTATTCTCCAAAAGCTGTCCATTAGCAAATATTTCTAGAGCTTTGCACATTCCTGCTGATGCCATGACAAATAAGGAAATACATTTTATTTTCAAGTTTCTAAGAAAGCATTACAAAAATGAATTGTATTTTTTTAACTGAGGAAAATACTTGGCAGTACCCTTTTACCCAAAAATGGAAACATGTCTATGTATTTAAACCAAATTCATCTATAAATTAAAAACCTGGAAAGCAAAAGCACATTGATGCAATAATTTGAAATTTAATTCATCATCACTGTTAAAATGGTACCTTTTAAAATGGTCTCTTTCTCAAATTTGCCTAATGTGAGCTTTTGTATTCTAGCCACAATTTCCTTCTATTTTTTTTACATTGTATTAATATTAATGGAGAACTGAAAGTGGCAGCAAATAAATATCATATATCATCTTATTGACACCAGTGCTTCATAGCTAATGTTTTGAAGTGCTTTTGAGATATAATGCTTTGATAAAAGATGCTAATAAAGTGAAAATTATTTCTTTTCAGTCAGTGGTTATTTCTGCAGTGTTGGTTTTGCTAAAGAAGGATTTTGTGCTGCACTTTTCTCTACCTATTGCATATGCCCAACTGTTCTATGTATGTTGTTCCAGCTCAGCAGCCCTTTTTGTAGACATACATGTCACTTATTGGCTTAAAGTATGGACACAACCTTGTTATGATGATTCATTATCATTTCTGGAAAACAAGGCAGTATTTAACATCCAACGCATTCCAGTATCCCTAACAAATTTCACTTACATGAAGATGAATTAATGGATGTTATTATGAAAATCTAGATTTCTTGAGCCAAGAAGCTGGATAATTACAGTATTTCAGAACAGCAGGCTTAATTAACGTAAGCCAAATCACAAGTCTTTTGTATCTTGGACATCAGTGTCTATTTACCTTGCAGGAGCAGGCAAACTTAAAGAGTCCACTGTTATGGCCCACCTGGGGCCATGTTCTGGAAGTTAGAGATTATAAATGTAAGCCTCAAGTAGAGACCATTTTAAAATAAAGTGAAGTCAGTTATTTTCTTCACAGCCAGACTCCCACTTGTCTCTTATCACTAAGGACTCCTTGCTATACAATCGTTTGTCTCTCAGGAATTCTGTCTGTTTGTAGTACTGTTCGCGTCACATTAAGTGAGTTCTAACCAACAAAATAAAACATTTCTGAAAAGGCAAATTGTACTTGTTTACTACAAACTCCCAAATTGCAAGTATATTGTGATGACAAATAAATAAATACACCTAGACTGAAAAAATAAAGGAGGGAATGTGGTTCAAAAGAAGGTGCTCAGAGGCAAGTCTCCTAAAGCCTATTCCTGACTCAGTCACAGATTTATCAAAACACTTAACAAGAGTGAGGCACAAGGACTCTTATCTGTAAAAAGGGGGATAATATTAATCTACTCCATCTGGACACTATGGTGCTAATAAGCGATGGTCACATAAACATCACCCTATACTGGAAAACTACTGACCGCTATTCCTACCTACATGCCTCCAGCTTTCACCCAGACCACACCACATGATCCATTGTCTACAGCCAAGCTCTACGATACAACTGCATTTGCGCCAACCCCTGAGACAGAGACAAACGCCTACAAGATCTCTATCAAGCATTCTTACAACTACAATACCCACCTGTTGAAGTGAAGAAACAGATTGACAGAGCCAGAAGAGTACCCAGAAGTCACTTACTACAGGACAGGCCCAACAAAGAAAATAACAGAACGCCACTAGCCGTCACCTTCAGCCCCCAACTAAAACCTCTCCAACGCATCATCAAGGATCTACAACCTATCCTGGAGGACGACCCATTGCTCTCACAAATCTTGGGAGACAGGCCAGTCCTTGCCTACAGACAGTCCCCCAACCTGAAGCAAATACTCACCAGCAACCACACACCACACAACAGAACCACTAACGCAGGAACCTATCCTTGCAACAAAGCCCGTTGCCAACTGTGTCCATATATCTATTCAGGGGACACCATCATAGGGCCTAATCACATCAGCCACACTATCAGAGGCTCATTCACCTGCACATCTACCAATGTGATATATGCCATCATGTGCCAGCAATGTCCCTCTGCCATGTACATTGGTCAAACTGGACAGTCTCTACGTAAAAGAATAAATGGACACAAATGAGATGTCAAGAATTATAACATTCATAAACCAGTCGGAGAACACTTCAATCTCTCTGGTCACTCGATTTCTGACCTAAAAGTGTCAATTCTTCAACAAAAAGACTTCAGAAACAGACTCCAACGAGAGACTGCTGAATTGGAATTAATTTGCAAATTGGATACAATTAACTTAGCCTTGAATAGAGACTGGGAGTGGTTGAGTCATTACACAAAGTAAAATTATTTCCCCTTGTTTATTCCCTCCCCCCCACACTGTTCCTCAGACGTTCTTGTTAACTGCTGGAAATGGCCCACCTTGATTACCACTACAAAGGGTTTTCTCTCCCCCCTCCCCCTCCACACTCCTGCTGGTAATAGCTCATCTTAAGTGATCACTCTCCTTACAGTGTGCATGATAAACACCCATTTTTTCATGTTCTGTGTGTATATAAATCTCCTCACTGTATTTTCCACTGAATGCATCCGATGAAGTGAGCTGTAGCTCACAAAAGCTTATGCTCAAATAAATTGGTTAATCTCTAAGGTGCCACAAGTACTCCTTTTCTTTTTATGAATACAGACTAACACGGCTGCTACTCTGAAACCAATAAAAACAGTGTTCTGGATATCCATCCCTTATTTTACAGAGATACTGTGTCCAAAATTTTTAAACTTGGTGCCGAAAACTAGGCTAAAAACAAAAGCCTTATCTTGAGCACCTACAGCTTCTCTTAAAGTCAAGGGAAGTGCAGATCACTTAAAAACCATTTTTTCTTGGAAACACAAGTGATGTCAATGGGAGCTGCACTTGCTCAGCACCTCTGAAAATCAGGCCACTCTTACATACTATTTAGGCTATGATACTTGTGGCAGTGTGTAGCCACATGCCACAGTGAAAAGATGGATTGTCCACATTGCGGTGTATAGCTACATGCAGTGAAGAAAGGCTCTGGCAGGAAGGAGGCATACTTACTTTCTAATTTGATAGTTATCAAATAGGAATGTGAAACACACATTTCTATGGGTGAATCTTGGGCACAACCATAAACTTCTGAATATCAAGGAATTTTTTGATGAACCTCTAAAGAAAAACTACAGTCCAATCAAGCTGAAATTTGCCACAACAACTGCTAATCAAGCGTGGGAAATCTTCCACATCCTGCAGCTGTGGAATGCAGAATTAAGCAAACTTTCGTCTAAATAGGCTGGTCTGCAATAGTTGCAATCCACAACTTTTAGGCACTTGAACAATCCAGAATGTTACCGATATATTTACTTATGAGTAAATTCTTCTGTTGCCACTACTTGCTTTTATTATTTATTTTCATTTCTTTAATGGTGCATCCTTATTTAATTCTCCATGATTTTTTGCATCGCTTGATGCTATATCCAGTTTTGAATTCTGGGAGCTTTGTCTACAGAAAAAGACAGATGCTATAACAACCCATTTAGTTTTTTATTCTAATAATTGTTGAATGTGATCTCCAATTTTTAAGTTACCACCAGAATTCAGGCTTTTTAGTAATTTTCCTGAAATGGAAAGATTTGATTTTTCCTTACGTGATTTAATTTTTCAAAAGTTGCTGATTAGCATGTGGAGTAATACTACAAGGGTTCACTACTTAAATGAACAAAATGTTGTCCAAACAACAATGAGGAAGTGTGAGAGAATGACCTAAAGATTTATCAAACTATGGCAGGAAACGTTCTGAATTCTTTGCTTACCAAAGTGTATGACCTTCTCTGGCACAAGGAATATGTCCATCATGAGGTATCCTCTCCCAAGTCAAATCAGTAAGAGTAACTGTTGATAAATAAGGATATGTTGGATTACTAAAATCAGTATCATTCTATAAAACATAATTAGATAAACACACTGGAAAGTAAGTTTGAAAAGGAGTGTTATGCTTCAAATTCTCAATAAGATTCTCTCATAATGCGCATTTAGAACTAGTACACTTTTAAAAATAACTTCATAGACTTTCCTTATTCTTCCTGCAATCTTTTTTATTTTTGTTTGAGAAAAAGATTGTACTGCTTCCTGTGAAACTGGTTCCCATTGTGAACCACGGAGTGTCAATCAGCTGCAAGAAGAAAACTTTGACCTACTAGTCCCTTGCCCTTCCTCTTTGTCCTTCCAAGACAAACTCATTACCTTTGCAATATGTCTGGCTGCAAGAAGTATGTGTCTCAAGCTGAGAAACTTCACTCATGAATTTGGGCATTCTGTGCGCTAGTAATTTGGCAGCAGCATATTATACTAATATCACTGCTCCAGAAATACAAAGAAATAATTAATCACAGCAGATCAGCAAATAGATTGTAAAATATATCTAAACAAGATATCTTGGTAACACTCTAAGTGAGGAGACGTTGGCTGATCATATTAAGTACATTCAAATCCGTGGAGAATTATGATTATGCAGCTTTTGTTTCAGTACATCTATTCAAACCTAGCAGAACAGGAAGAAAACCTGAAATAATTTGTAAACTATTGTTTAGCAATTTTAGTCTTGGTCTCACTGCTTTTTTCAGTAACCCTTCACTATTTCTATGATGATAACACATTATATGTATAACAAATAATCATCCTATCGCAGTGAAATACGTGCAAAGCCAAAAAAGAGGAATAAACCTATGAGTATTTTGCCTGCCATAAAAGATGAATAATATCTCACTTGTCAACATGTAGAAGTCATTGAAATATATTTGCTGATCATCCTGGGGGAGAGAGACAGAGAGAGAAATTGAAGTTGATATATTTATTTTCAGGACATTAATAATGTCACCAAAGTAGGGAAAACCTTTTTAATTAAACAGTGACTGGTACAAGAATAATACACAGATTGTTACCAGGGAGCAGTGGGTGTAGTACTGAAATACTTCACAGCACACAATAGATGGAATGCTTCTGCAACGATTCTTAAGTAAACATTTCTGAACTCAGAACAACAAACAGTAAAACTAGATTTAAAATAAAAATGTTGTCATTGAATACAGTTCTACAGCAAATTGCTCAGTGTTAACAGTTCAATAAATTATGGCAAGGATACCCAGCTACACTTACAAAGGTATTACAAATGGAACAGCCTCCAAATACAAATGCTATGTTGCCTGCCATTGTCAATGCATGTCCATGCCTAAAAATGAAACAGAACAATGGTGAATAACCTGAGTCGTTGACATGACTGTGCAATATTTGTTTCTTCTCTCAAGGCTGTTCATTATGACTATTTGCCATTTATATTGTGGTAACAACAAGAAACCTCAGCCATGTCAGGGCTTGATTGTGCTAGACACTGTACAAGTATCAGTGTCCCAAAGTGTTTATTGCCTAAATTACACACATGTCAGGGAAGGGAAGAGGAAGAGGATGGGCTATCAAATATTAGGATGTCAGTTCAGATAAGCACAGGGCACAATTCACAGAGCATTAGTAGCAGGAATCACAGCTTGCCACCTGCCTACCCATTATCCAGTGCTAGTTTTCTGTATGCATAGCAGCAGAGGTGAGTTTTAAGGAGGAACCTGAAGGTGGAGGCTTTTCCTACACACAAGTAACAGTAAGGGAGAGAGCCTGAAATTGATTCTGGGAGATGCAAACTACTGAGGCTGTCCTCATTGGCAGAGTGAGGGCAGGGGTCAACCTCACAACAAAATAATAGGATGGATAGGTGGAGTAAACTGCAGATGCCTTTGAAGTTTAGGGCAAAAAGTTTGTGCTAGATCAGTGGTGGGCAGCCTGCGGGCCACATGCGGCCTATCAGGGTAATTTGATTTCAGGCTGTGAGAAATTTTGCTGATGTTGACCGTCTGAAGGCACCACCCCCCCGCGCTCCCAGTGGCCAGGAACAGAGAACCGCGGCTCCTGGGAGCTGTGGGGGGCTGTGCCTGCAGGCAGTCAACGTTAGTAAAATGTCTCATGGCCCATAATCAGATTACCCTGATGGGCCGCATGCAGCCTCTGGGCTGGTTGGCAGGTTGCCCACCACTGAGCTAGATGTTTAGAAACAAATACTGTGTGATTCTTTTAATAGTTTGAAGCCCACATCCCCAAGGTCTTCTGGTACCCCTATGATTCTTTCATTTCTTGTCAGAAATGATTCTTTAGACACCTAGAGATTTCCTAATTTGGTAGCTCTCAAGGGAAGACAAAAGCCCTTCTCACACAGAAGCAGCGTATCTTCCATCCCCCTCTCCATCTCCACTTTAGGGGAGCATTGGTGTTCAATCTACCTCTTTCTTTTCTCCCCCATTGCAGATAATACTAGTGGTTGGCTTAGCACTTCCAGAAATATCTCCACAGGGCTTTGCTAGTGACATGAGAAGCTCTTTGTAATTTTTTCAGTCTTATTTAGTCACACCTAGATATAGCTTGCTCTTAGGACTGTTTTATTCCATGGGCTGTCTAATGTCAAGGAATAACTGAAACTAATACAAGCAAAGTTTCTCTGGTACTAAGCAATCCAGGAGAGAGCACTGTAAACAGAGAACCTGATTGTCAAAAATAGAAGAAAGCACATTCTGCTGTGTGACTGGAATATTGGCACTTCAAACACATGAAGCAGCACGGGCCACTGTAGCAGATGAGAAGGGGAAATAAAAAAATCCTTTAGATTATTATCACCAGTGTGTCCTTCTAGTTACCAAGCCCTGGGACATAGTTGTTTTCCAGAGATGAATTGTTCAAATATAAAGAATGTTCCAGCACAGCTCCAGCTGTGATTACGTATCCAAGTACAAAGGTTAGAAAATTAATGACCAAACAAAAATATTTACAGAATTTCAGTAAATTAAAAAAAAAATATCACCAAGTGCCTGTGTGGTGAGGTTTATTAAATCAATAAATGACGTGATGGACCATTAGCGTCAAGAAAAGAATTAATTTTATATATTCTATCCATAAACTCTTTCCCCGCCCCTCATAAAGAAGCTCCTTTTTACAACACCCCTACTCATCTCCTACTTTGATCTAGACTTGATATATCCCATTAATATTTTTTCAAACAAATTAATGATTGGTAGGGAGTGGTTCCCTCCCCAGTTTCTGCTGGAATAGCACTTGCCACTTTAAAACCATAGGCCTACTCCTATAAACACATTTGCACACACAGATCCTAAGGTGCATATGGATATTTAAACTACTAAAATATACGCAAATTTTCAAATATATTAAGCACATCTGATTAACACCATGAACTTTTTTAAATTTTAGGAGGTAAATAAAGTACTCTGATATCTATAATAGCTAAAAAATAAAATTGAGAGTTTTCTTCAGTGAGTGATGGATAACTAAGGTACTCTGTCATAATGAGTGAAGTGAAATAATAATCATCATCATCATCAGAATTACCTTGTGTATACAACCCTTATCTGGCAAGATCCCAAAGCACTTTACAAACTGCTTTTATAATAGTGACTAGCGCAGGGGTGGGCAAACTACTGCCTGCAGACCGGATTCAACCTGCAAGCTGTTTTAAGGCAACCCATGAGCTCCCGCTGTGGAGTGGGGTCAGGAGCCGGACCACACGGCTCGGCCCCACTCTGGCACTCTGGCTGGGGCACTGGGTCAGGGCCGTACCACGTGGCTCGGCCCCACTCTGGCTGGGGCGCTGGTTTGGGGGCCGTACCATGTGGCTTGGCCCCCCTCCAGCCAGGGCGCAGGTCAGGGGCCATAGCATTGCCCCACTCTGGCACTCTAGCTGGGGCGCAGCGTCAGGGGCCACACCATTCAGCTCCCAGAAGCCATGGCATGGCCCCGATCTGGCTCCTACGCGCGCCAATGGGCCCCTCCAGTGCACCAATGGGAGCTGCAGGGGCAATGCCTGTGGATGGGGCAGCGTGCAGAGCCACCCCTGGCTGCGCCTCCGCGTAGGAGCCAGAGAAGGAACATGCCACTGCTTCCAGGAGCCGCTTGAGGTAAGCGCCGCTCAGAGCATGCACCCCTGAGCCTTTCCTCATGCCCCAACCCCCTGTCCCAGCCCGGAGCACCCTCCTGCACCCCAAACCTCTCATCCCCAGCCCCACCCCAGAGCCTGCACCCCAAGCCAGAACCTGCACCCTTTCCCGCACCCCGTCCCAGCCCTGATCCCCCTCCTTCCCTCCGAACCCTTCAGTCCCAGCCCAGAGCACACTCCTATAGCCCAAACTCCTCATCCCCAGCCCCACCTCAGAGCCCACACCCCAAACCAGAGCTTTCACCCCTCCCATACCTTAACCCCAATTTTGTGAGCATTCATGACCCGCCATACAATTTCTATTCCCCAATGTGGCCCTCGAGCCAAGAAGTTTGCCAACCACACCAAAATTTTATCATGGGATCTTATGTAATCACAAGTGATCAGAATCTCAGTTTTATATTTCATCTGAAAGATATGTGATTTTTAATTAATGTAAAGCTGTAAGGGCAGATAGACAATGTGAAACACTGTTTGAATAACAGCTGATTTTCTTATTCATAGGCCAAAGTAGGTGCAACAACATGAACTAAATTCGACTCACACTTTTACTGTATAAAAGTAAAACAGAAAACACACTATTTGAAGGAGACTGGTAGACAATAGTACGTTATTACTTATGACATACCTAGGGCTTGGAGAGTCTCCAATTACCTCTTTTCTAATCCAATGTCCACTTGCTAATGCCATCTTTGAACTATTCAGAAAAATATATATAGTCAGCAGGAAAATTCCAAAATCTATGAATATTCTTGATTTTGTACAGGTGTTTAAAGAACAGATTTAAAAAAAAACCAATAGCCAGTATTACTTTATTAATCAGTTGTACGTAATATTTTGTGATATAGCATGGCCAGAGGGCAGCACGAGAGTGTTAGAAGGGAGCCTTATTCCCTGTAGAGGGAAGAAAGTTTGCTATAGATTAATTAAAGCACCTGAAGCCAGTCACCTGATAAACCCCCCCGCTTCAAATCAGACAAGGGAAGGAGTTGAAGGAGAGTGGATTGGTGTTGGAGCAGAGAGCAGTTTGGAGGGAAGCAGAGGAGAGTTTGGAGAAGTGCTGTGGTGAGCTAAGAAAACCAAGACCCTAGGTAAAGTGACACCTGGTTTGTGCAGAGGGAGGGCAGGAAGCCCCACAGGCTGAAGGGCAGGAGAAGGAAGTAGCCTAGGGGAAGGAACAGGTTCAAGCAGTTTACCGCTATCCCTAGGGCTCCTGAGCTGGGACCTGGAGTAGAGTAGGACCTGGAGTAGAGCCTGGATCCCTCCTGCTCCACTTGCCCCACTAGTGTCCTAGAGGAGGGAGTTAATACCCCAGTTCAAAGGGGTGAGAAATGGTGCCCTGAACCCTCCTCAAGAAGAGAAAGAGCAAGACAAATTAAAGTAGTGCTGGCAATTTGCCACAATTTGTTAATGGTATTTCATATACTGCATAGGAGTTCTGATAGGCTTTCCAAGCTAAAAAGCTCTACTTGGCATGAGAAAAAGTTTAAATACTGACCATGAATGAGTCAGAAGTATACTCCTCTTTTGTTGTTCTTCTACTGATCAGCAGCTCCATATTTCACTCACCTGTTGTGCGTGTGTCTTGCACTCATGCAGGAGATGACTGTTTCTGTAGGTTAAGTATGCTGCCAGAAATTAATCTCTGGTCTCATTAATTCAGCTCCAGTTCATTCTTTACCTACATTGATAGCAGTTGCTATGACACAAAGGTACACAGAGAGAGGTGCACACCTTACATTATTTCTCTGATGCAGCATTATTTCCGGGTGACAAACGCATTGCAGGTTAAAAAAAGATACTTTACAATGCTGCATTCATGAACCATCAGAGTTGCAGTCAGCAGCTGATTTTTTTAATATTTGGTTAATTTAACAGACTATGCTTTTTGTTTATTATTAGAGTAATTAGTCTGAGGCACCTTATAAAACAGTGGACACCTGTCATGGTAAAATAAGTCTACTACCACCAAATCTTGAACTCCTGAGGAAAAGAGAAAAGATCTGGGCCTGTAAACAGAATTTCAGTATAAATGAAATTGTAATACATTGAAACTTTGGGACTTTCATTCTACTAAATTAGAAGCAGTTTCACTCAGTCCATGTTCGTTGAAAATGAAGTGCATGGTACATTGGTTGCTGTTTTGATATGTGATTATGATTTTCACTGAAGTCATTCCAGACCACAAAATTAAAAATAAAATCCTGTTTCATTGTTGCAGTAGAAATTAATTCTCCAATGTACACAACCATTCCATTGCTTTTCTATATGAAGGAGATTGGCAATTTGGGAGTTCTTAGATTGTTAAGCATGTTAGATAAATAATGATAATGGTAGAGAGACATCTCAGCTATGATAGGTGTATTTAGAGATCAGGAAATGCAGGTAATTTGCATTGTTAAGGCTGCATACTGCTCATTTCCCACAATTCATACTGAATTAGAGTTGTATGCACTGACTGCAGATGGAATGCTTAAGTGTCTTGCTGAAAATGGAGCTTTGACATTTCTCAGGTGGTATTAAATAAAATTATTTCTTTTTCCAGTGGGTCTTATTATTGGTAAAAATCACTACATTATAATCTTAGTGGGGGTAGTTTTAATTCTCATGCATTTTTTTTTTTACCTGTTTGCAGTTCTCTGTGTGAAAGATAAGACTTTCAGTTGTTTTCTTTTTTAAATATGTAAATAGACTAAGGATTTATCCCCAATTTAATTTAATTTCACTAAATTTAGGTGAGATAATGAACCTATTTTTTCATTATTCTTAAACAAACACAAAAAAGAAAAAAGGAAATGACATTTATTATTTAGACTTAGTGGGCTCAGCATTTAACTATCAAAAACAACCTCCCTTATGTTCACATAATATCAAGGTTATAATTTTAAACAATCACAAGTCAGGAAATACAAAAGTAAAGTTTCGCATAACAATCTTAATGCACCTACAATAGCTATTTTGCTTATCTTACTTTCCTATTTTTATAGGTTTCAGAGGAACAGCCGTGTTAGTCTGTATTCGCAAAAAGAAAAGGAGTACTTGTGGCACCTTAGAGACTAACCAATTTATTTGAACATGAGCTTTCGTGAGCTACAGCTCACTTCATCAGATGTTTACCGTGGAAACTGCAGCAGACTTTATATACACACAGAGAATATGAAACAATACCTCCTCCCACCCCACTGTCCTGCTGGTAATAGCTTATCTAAAGTGATCAACAGGTGGGCCATTTCCAGCACAAATCCAGGTTTTCTCACCCTCCACCCCCCCACACAAATTCACTCTCCTGCTGGTGCTAGCCCATCCAAAGTGACAACTCTTTACATAATCAAGTCGGGCTATTTCCTGCATAGATCCAGGTTTTCTCACATCCCCCCCACCCCCATACACACACAAACTCACTCTCCTGCTGGTAATAGCTCATCTAAACTGACCACTCTCCAAGTTTAAATCCAAGTTAAACCAGAACATGGGGGGGGGGGGGGGGGGGGTAGGAAAAAACAAGAGGAAACAGGCTACCTTGCATAATGACTTAGCCACTCCCAGTCTCTATTTAAGCCTAAATTAATAGTATCCAATTTGCAAATGAATTCCAATTCAGCAGTTTCTCGCTGGAGTCTGGATTTGAAGTTTTTTTGTTTTAAGATAGCGACCTTCATGTCTGTGATTGCGTGACCAGAGAGATTGAAGTGTTCTCCGACTGGTTTATGAATGTTATAATTCTTGACATCTGATTTGTGTCCATTTATTCTTTTACGTAGAGACTGTCCAGTTTGACCAATGTACATGGCAGAGGGGCATTGCTGGCACATGATGGCATATATCACATTGGTGGATGTGCAGGTGAACGAGCCTCTGATAGCGTGGCTGATGTTATTAGGCCCTGTGATGGTGTCCCCTGAATAGATATGTGGGCACAATTGGCAACGGGCTTTGTTGCAAGGATAAGTTCCTGGGTTAGTGGTTCTGTTGTGTGGTATGTGGTTGTTGGTGAGTATTTGCTTCAGGTTGCGGGGCTGTCTGTAGGCAAGGACTGGCCTGTCTCCCAAGACTTGTGAGAGTGTTGGGTCATCCTTTAGGATAGGTTGTAGATCCTTAATAATGCGTTGGAGGGGTTTTAGTTGGGGGCTGAAGGTGACCGCTAGTGGCGTTCTGTTATTTTCTTTGTTAGGCCTGTCCTGTAGTAGGTAACTTCTGGGAACTCTTCTGGCTCTATCAATCTGTTTCTTTACTTCTGCAGGTGGGTATTGTAGTTGTAAGAAAGCTTGACAGAGATCTTGTAGGTGTTTGTCTCTGTCTGAGGGGTTGGAGCAAATGCGGCTGTATCGCAGAGCTTGGCTGTAGACGATGGATCGTGTGGTGTGGTCAGGGTGAAAGCTGGAGGCATGCAGGTAGGAATAGCGGTCAGTAGGTTTCCGGTATAGGGTGGTGTTTATGTGGCCATTGTTTATTAGCACTGTAGTGTCCAGGAAGTGGATCTCTTGTGTGGACTGGACCAGGCTGAGGTTGGTGGTGGGATGGAAATTGTTGAAATCATGGTGGAATTCCTCAAGGGCTTCTTTTCCATGGGTCCAGATGATGAAGATGTCATCAATATAGCGCAAGTAGAGTAGGGGATGGCCCACCTGTTGATCACTTTAGATAAGCTATTACCAGCAGGACAGTGGGGTGGGAGGAGGTATTGTTTCATATTCTCTGTGTGTATATAAAGTCTGCTGCAGTTTCCACGGTAAACATCTGATGAAGTGAGCTGTAGCTCACGAAAGCTCATGCTCAAATAAATTGGTTAGTCTCTAAGGTGCCACAAGTACTCCTTTTCTTTTTCCTATTTTATAGTGTTAGATGTTTATCTAAATTCCATCAACTAACATCCAGGCCATGCTCCAGTGAGATTCAACCAGCAGAGGAGGCCAAAGAACATACACTTTTTTTCCTATTGTTATTATTATTTGCATTGTGGTCCCCCCCAATAATGGATCAGAATGTGTTAGGCGCTATATATACATACAATCAGTACTGGCTATGTACATAAATTGATCATTTTTGCTTTATGAGCACCTTCATCAGCACTGGGAGAAGGAAACAAATATTTCTTGCCCTGTGGAAGCAACTAAGATCACAAACCTCCTGCATTATATACTCAGATTATATAAATTTTGTTAAGCCCTAGGTGAGCAGATATACATGAGGGTAGCATATATGTTTTCCTTGTTGAAGAAAAAATGTATCCATTACCTATGTTCACCTTGTTCTTTTTCTTACAAGGTGGAAGGGAAAAGATGGATCTCTAATTCCAACTTCATTTTGCCGGGAGACTTTGTCCATTCCTTTTGGGTGAAGATGGGCCACAGCGATCCACATGTTCATCAGGTCCAGGCTGGATTATTGTAACTTGTTGCAGCTGGGTCTGAATACAGAAGCTGAGTACACCACTGCTTTGTTTCACTTCCTCTGTGGATTCTCAATCTGTGTTTTTTGCCAGTTCAGTACATCAGTGATATCATCTCCATCCATGGCCTGCCAAGACAGCTGTGCTTTAAGGCTGAACTGGGGGGAAATGGAGCTAGTGCTGTCCCAAGCGCCACCCACTTGGGACATTAAAGCAAGACATCACTTGCAGAAGATTGTCTAGATTGTCTTAGTATTATTCTTTGCTTTTCTTGTGCACTTTGCTAAGCAACAATAAGGGTGAGACTGTGAGGGTGAAGGTGGGCTTTATGGCACCATAGTAAAAACTGAAAAATGTTTCATGACCATTTTATTAGATTTAACTCCCGTTTTAAAATCATCACACAAATGAAAGTTGGCCACTCAAGCCTTCTATGATGCACTACGTCTACATCCTTCTTGGTTTCTTGTTATAATTTTGTACAACTCTGTTAATGAACTTCTTGAATGCAATGCATTCATCTTTAGAGGCTTCTCGTGTGTCCGGTACTTCCATTCCTTCAGTTGATATGCTCATTAGTTCATTCACATGATCAGGCAGAAGGAGTCTTCTTTCAGAACACAAAATTCTATTCAATGATGAAAAAGAACACTGAACTCTAGCTGTTTTGGCTGGGAGTAGCAAGAGATGAATTCCTACTTCTTTCATCCCAGGAAACATAGCACAAACATCGGGTCAAGCCACTAGTCAAATCTTCATTCATTCATTCATTGTATGATATTCCACTCTGTGTTCAAATTCTCTGTGTCCTGATCACATGGCAGCCCCATTGCTGGTAGTGCCTCACTCCACTCAACTGTCAATGTTTTATAGGACAGGCATCTGTAAAAGCTACGTAGAGGTTGAGTAGAATCTAGACGTCGCTGTTGTAGATTTTTAAGAATCAAGTCTGTGTACTTTTTCAGATGGCTTAACAAACACTTCTTGTCCTCTTCACTTAAGGATTCAATACAAATGCCTTAATTAGTCAACTTCTGGACTGAAGTCTTTGTTTCTTCCAGTACTTTTTTGGTGGCTAGCTCTCTGATTGATCCAAATGTAGCTTCTATTGCTTGACAAAGATCTACTACTGTTGTAGCAGATGCCTGGATGCCATTGTTTAATGACCCAAGTGGTTTCAACAGTAGACTTACGAGAGAGAGAGAATGGCAATAGTCTTCTCTGAATGTAGTAACAAAAGTAATCCACCAGCCTCACTACTTAGATCCATCCCATGTTGGTAGATACTTTCCAAAGCCAGTAATAACAGCTGGAGTCTTTTTAAAAAGACAACAGCCAAGGATCGCCCATGAGAAAGCCAGAGGGTTTTCCCAGGTTGGATTAATATGAACTTCAGTCCCAGTGTATCTTCTACATTTTCCAAGATATACGTCTTTTTGGACACTTGCTGAAAGAAGAATATAATGAAGACATTAAATTTATAGCTTTTTTAATGTCTTTTGAAGATTCTGCAGTTCATACTAGTGATAGTTGGAGTAGATGGCCTCTGCAGTGTGTATAGGAGAGATTAGGGTTACACTTTTCTCTGAGCAAAGCTTGTACTCTACCATGTCTTCCAGAGAAGTTCGCAGCTCCATCAAATGCACAAGCAGCCATCTGTTTGGGGTTCAATTGACAAGCATTTAACTCTAAGATGTGGGTTGTCACAGATGCAGCCAATGTGTCTTCTATAACTTGAACATCTAGAAATGCATCTAGTGGCCTACAACTGACATCAAAATAACGTACACAATGACTTAATACTTGATGCCCATTTGCATCGGTGCAGTCATCAGCCATGTATGCAATTTTTTTGAATGTGGTAAGAGAGTTCTTTGTTGGATCATATTAAAGAAGTTCTGTATGAAAATCACAAATGAGTTTGATTCCCCATAGTTTAAATTCCAGGGTATTACTAATTAAGAGGTCTCTTGGTTTTTGGTCTCTTATTTTTACTGTTTCTCTCCCTCTCTGTGTGAAACTTGCAAGCTGCTAATCGTGTTCCTACATTCTAAGACAGAGTCTGTTCTCAAAGCGACACTTTGTAACAACAGAAACAGAACACAGAGACAGAGACTCCCCACCCTTTTGTTGTATTTATCTCACTTTGTTAACAATTGTGATTAAAATAGAGATAGAGGATGTATGTGAATAGATGCATGGTGTGGATAATAAATGAATGATCAGGGAGGTGCCAGCCTAAGAATCCAGTGTTGATCGGCCAAAGAAGGTGTCAAGTGGAAACAACCAGAGGACCCCCGGAGGGCAGACTGGAATCTACCCAACAGACTCAAAGATGGGAGAACTGAAGAACAAGATAACATCTGGCAGCATGGAGCCATCAGGAACGTGCCATCTGCAGATTGATTCAGCAACAGCATGATGAAGTAATTCCCATAGACTGGCATAGGAAGAAATTCCTAAAAAAATGGACTCTAGAAACTGAGAACTTTGGGGTCTGATTCTGCAAACCAGCTTCCAGGATCATCAGATGAGCATCTGACAGGGCCCTGCTCCCTCCTCATGACCAGGCCACCTGGCCAGTGGCTTGGCACAAGCAACTCTAAGACTGGTAACTATGATAACAACCTTGCAGAACCTCTGTGTGTGTGTGTGTGTCTATGAATGAA